ATATACTGTCTATAATTCATAAAATAACAATTAAGAGAACCATAAAATTAAGTTACAAAAGCAAAGAAACTAGTATGAAAGTTATCTTTGTATTTAAATTTTTTTAAAATTTGTTATTTTTATTTTATGTGTATGTGTGTATTGCATGCATGTAGGTAAGTGCACCTGTGTCATGTAATGCCTGTGGAGGACAGAAGAGGCTGTTGCATCTGTGGAGTTACAGACAGTTGTTAGCTGCCATGTGGGTGCTGGGATTCGAACTTGGGTCTTCTGCAAGAACAACCTGTGTTCTTAACCACTGAACCATCTCTCCAGTGTAACCTTTTAAAAAGAATTGTGTTAAGAGTAAAGGTGGGGCTGGAGAGATAGCTCAGCAGATAGGAGTGCTTGCTGCCATTCTGGAGGACCCAAGTTAGGTTCCCAGCACATTGGTCCAGCAGCTCATAACTGCTTGTAAATTCAGCTCCAGGGAATCTGACACCTCTGGCCTCTAGGGGCACCTGTACCCACATACACATAATGTGGACATAAACACATACAGTCAATTTAAAAAATTATACAAATAAACATTTTTTTAAAAAAGTGAATACCTTTAGTCCCAGTGCTTGGGAGGTAGAGGCAGGCAGATCTCTTAGTTCAAGGCCAGCCTGGTCTACATAGTGAGTTCCAGGCCAGCTGTGTTCTTCCAGCTTTAAGAGGGCTGTGGCTGCTGTTTCTCCAGCTTTAGAGGACTGTGGCTGCTGTCTTGTCCAGAGCTGCACCTCCACAGTGGACAGCAGACCTGCTACTCTCATCATTTTCAGGTTAACATTGTTTATTTCCCACAGCTCCAGTGTCTGAGCTGTGGAATCATTTGTTCCCCCAGCAGTCCATGAGACTTATTTGTTTTTTCAGTTGTATTTATTTTATTTTATGTGCATGGGTGTTTCCTCTGCATGTATATAAGTGTACCTATCTCATACAGTGCCTGCAGAGACCAGAAGAGGGTGTTGGATCCCCTGGAACTGCTAATATGTTGTTAGCAGCCATATGGGTGTTGGGAACTGAACTCAAGTCTTCTGCAAGTGCAGTCAGGGCTCTTGCAGAATCATCTCTAATCACCCCCTCTGGGACTTCTTAAAGAAGGAAACTAATTGCTTATCTCTATAATAAGAGCCTGGCACAGAACAGCTATGCATTAAGTGCATGTCAAATGATACATTTGTATGTTTGCTTTTATATATTCAAGAACATCATTTCATTTAAAATATTCTAAAATGTGATTGGTAAAGAACACAGGTGTTACTTTAAGAAACCAGTTTGAAATTTTAGCACCGATTTACTCCCATATTGGTATGTTCAGTTAAATGAGTAGTTTATGGGCTCCTGTGTTCAATTATTAAATTTTTTTTTGTTACTGACTATGCACCCAATCACTCCATTGTATATTTGATAAACTGTAACGATTTCAAAGAAATCTTTTTTTGAAAGATTTTCTTCTTTCAACACTCTGGTGTTTTATTTATTTATTTATTTTGAAGCAGGGTCTCCCTGTTCCAATTGGCCTGGAACTCACTATATAGACAACGCTGGCCTCAATTTCACAGAGAATCACCTGCCCCTGCCTCCCATTTGCTGGAATTAAAGGCATGTACCGCTATGCCTGGTCTCTATTTGTAGACCAATTTGACATCAAGCAAGTAAGCACCATAATGGAGAATGGGATTAAGTCCTGCAAGGAGATGGAGGAGGAAGTAAGTACAGCTGCCAATCTGCAGAGGTTATTGAAATCAACTGGGAAAGCAGCCCACTGTGAGGAAACAGCCCTTAAGTAGGAGACATGGGGTCTAGATGAGGTTTTTTTCTGCATAACTATAATTGAAGCAAATTATTTAAACCTCAATAAGGCTCTATTCCTTTACTTATAAATAGGGAATAGCAATAATTGCTATAGTCACTTGTGTTATGGCTTGTTAACAACCAAAACCTACTCCACTGAAGTTAAACATGCTGGGAGTGAGTGAGTTAAAAAAATATGGGACGGCTGTTTTGAAAGGGAAGGCTCAAAATCTTGGGGGAAATGGGTAGGAACAAAGGATTCATGATTCTAGTCAGGATACTATGCTGCCTTTTTCCTTTCTCTTCTGGTTATTAAAGCTAGTTCTCAGGTAACCCAGGTAGACTCTAACTCACTGCATAGTAGAGGCTGGTTTTAAACATCCTGCCTCTACTTCCCATGTACTGGAATTACAGATATGGTTCTATTATCAAGAAGTATAGTCTGAATGCAAACTGCCCCAGTGGGAATGAATTTTAAATGCCGCTTAGCTGCTCTGATTTGTACTGGTCCAATAAACAGTCCCAACAGGGTTGTGATAGGCTGAGCCTCAGTCACATGAGTGTGTGAGCTGCCAAGGCAGTGGAGGTTTTGATTCAGGAGAGGGGGCAGTGATGGTTAATCTTGGCTGCCAACTTGATTGGATTAAGAGATGACTAGTAGATTCAGGTGAGGTTACTGGTATGTGGAATAACTTCTGAAGGAAATGTCGGTTTCTTTGTCCAGTAGGCTGGGAGTCCAGGTGAACAAAAGCAGAAGAAAGAGGCAGCCAGAAGTGCATCTGGACTCCATTTCCTGAGTGAGTTTCTATATAGTTGCTGTTATCACGTGGACATGAAACCCCAGAATCTTTAAACTTTCAATGTGGACTCACACCATTGACCCCACAGGGTGCCTCCAGGCTTCTCCCTAGGACTGGGGCTGCCACTGTTCATCTTGTTCTGAGGCTTTCAGCTTCATGGACTGACCAACTATTGGTTCTCTGGATCCCCAGCCTGCAAATTATCTAGCCTCTGGATGTATAAGCCAATATAGTAAACCCTCTTTTATATATGTGTTTTATTGGCTCTGCTCTTCTAAATAACTCGAACACAAATGTGGAGCCCTTCCTACAACCTCTTTGTAGTCTTGCCAGGTAGGGCCCTTGGGATGCTGAGTAAGCAGAAATAACAAATGCCTTATCTGCATACATGCCCCTGCTCTGGGTTGCTGTCAAAATGAAGTTGGCATGTATAGAGAAGGGCTTCATAAGCTGTAAGCTGCATTGATTTTAACAGCCATGAAACCTCATGTTGTCATGATGTGAATAAATGTTTTGAGGGCCAGCCATACCATTAAATGCTGCTGCTCATATTGACAGACATTGAGAACATTTGTAAGAGGGATATAAGAAAAACTGACTTTGTAAAAGTGGTTCTTCTATTTGTAGAACTTTTATTTTTTTTTGAAGCAGGGTCTCCCTGTAGCCCCAGTTGGCCTGGAACTCACTATATAGACCACTCTGGCCTCAATTTCACAGAGATTCACCTGCCTGTGTCTCCCATTTGCTGGAATTAAGGGCATGCACCACTATGTCTGGTCTCTATTTGTAGAACTTTTAAGCAGAAACTTTCAATTTGATTTGTAACATACCAAACACATAAAACCTTCATGCATAGTGACCAAATTCAAAAATGACTCAATGAACTATTCTATTTCACAATTCCTAATGGCTAGCAAACTTTAGGCACAGTTTTATACCTTCTGTAAAATTTCAATATATACTTATCTGATAAATATAATGTAAAACTTATCAGTAACTCTTACTCCCCATGAATGGCAAAATTTTAAGGATTACCTGACATCTTTTTAAAAAAACTTAAAAACTATTATTTGTATTTTATGTATATGAGTGTTATCTGCATGTGTGTAAGTGCACCTGTGTTGTGCAATACCCACGGAGGTCAGAAGAGGGCATTGGATTCTCCTGGAACTGGAGTTACAGATGGTTGTCAGCCATCGTGTGGCTGCTGGGAATCGAACCTGGGTTCTATGTAAGAGCAGCCAGTGCTCTTAAGCACTGAGCCATCTCTCCAGCTCTGTATTCTGACATCTTTAATGCCTTTAAATATACATTTTTATAAGAAAAGTACTTTTTCTCCACATCTTTTAAGTTTTAAATCTTCCTTAGTAGACCCCCTAGTAATTAGAAATGAATGCTCAACACAGGATAAAGAAAAATATTAAATAACAGATCCTGTTGGACCTGTATTATGAAATAATTACATCATTGGTTTGATGTGATTAGAAATTATGTAGCAACATTTTTCTACAATTAGTTTTATAAAAACTAATGTGAGATTAAA